AAAGGATATATTTATATTTATATATTTAAAAATTTTATTTCGAAACTTCTGAGGAAACTTGTATTTGAATTACTATGTTTTAGAAGAGATTAATAATTTTTTCAAAACTGTCTTAATGTTTAAACGGAATCTGAAATTTGAAACAAATTAATGATCTGACTTGAGCGATTTGACTAAACTTTAGACTAGTCAAAATACAAACGTATTTTTTCAATTATTTGAGAAAAATCCCTTTCAGAATGACACATTCTCGGATCAATTTGACCAACTTTAATTTAATATAGAAAATTTATGGATGCGCCGGGACAATATATAATTAAAGATATATATTTCGAGAGTTCTAAGGATACTTGTACTTGAAATAGCATATTTTAGAAGAAATTATGCATGTTTTCCAAAGTATAATAATGTTGGAATAAAATAACCAGCGAATCTTAAATACGAAAAAAATTAATGGACTGATTTGAGAGAATTTAGACTGCTGAATACAAATGGTGAAAGCACCGGAATAATATATAATTAAAACGACATAATACGAGAATTCTAAAGCAGCGTGTGTATGAAATGGACTATTATGAAACAAACTACACAATTCTTTTTCTATAAATAATTTTAATTAAACTTGCCCGAATTGTAAGACGAAAGCTTTCGAGCTTTGATAAAGACGGGGACGTGGTTCCATAAGTACATAAGTCAGTTTATTTAATGTTCCTCTAAGTGTCCCAGTTAAAACTCTCTTGAATTTAAAATTATCATCCGAAAATGTTTCAATTAAACCGTTTCTCAAAAACATAGGTAAATTTCTTTCAACAACATCATATTTAAAAACATGTTTCACAAGGTATTTTCTTGTGGAGAATTAAGCATTTTCCAGTTAAGCTCCGCCCCTCGGCTCACGATCAATAAGAAAATTCATCACAATTGAGACAAGGGTGGGTGGGTGGGGTTTGTATTTTTCTTTATTTTTTTCTTAAATGTGCGTAGTTTTCTATTCACCACAACAAACTGAAAACTCGTTTAAAATGGTAAATTTGTAGAGAAATGTGGGTGATAAAATTTACCATTTGAAACATATTTCCAGTCGTTTATTCTGAAGAGTATGTACATTAAGAAAATAAAATTGTCAAAATATAAGCCCCGCCCACCCACCCTGTCTCAATTGTGACGATTTTTCTTTATTCGACGTGAGCAAGAAGGTGGAGCTTAATTGCAAAATCCTTATTTTTCTACGAGAAATTACCAAAATGATCGCAATAATGCATTGCTGCTTCAATCCATGAACCCCATCTAGTTATAACAAATTCTGGAGGCAATGGACAATTCGGTAAGGCTTCCCGGAAAGCTTGGATCCTTAAATGAGCTTTCAGCAATACTTTCTTTATGTTGGAAATTATATAAATTATTAACATCTTCATATTGATTCCGGTTATCCGGAAGTTATTTTCAGCTACTAAGTCTTTTTTTTTCCTAACATAGGTAATTTTCTTTCAACATATTTAAAAACATGTTTCACAAAGTAGTTTCTTGTGGAGAAATAAGCATTTTGCAATTAAGCTCCCCCCCACGGCTCACGACAAATAAGAAAATGCATCACAAGTGAGACGAGGGCGGGTGGGCGGGGTTTGTATTTTCCTTGTATTCTGCAAAATAACGAAACAAATTCGTTTCGATGCAATAATTCAAATTTTATTGATCCAAATATTGGTTTCCTTAATTTAGTTCGAATTGTTTCTAAAAGTCCCAAAGACTGAGAGATTTTAGAAATTTTAGAGTGTCTAGGAATTCTGAAGGTTCTAGAGATTCCAGAGATTCAGAAAAATGTCATAAATTTTCAATAGTGCGGAATAAAAGTGTTTCAGAAGTTCTAAGGGTCTTTGAGATTCTTGATTTCCTAAAAAGGTTTTATAAATTCTACAGATTTGTGAAATCTGAGAGATTCTAACAATATTAGAAACTCTAGAGTTCCTAAAAACCAGAGCTTCGAATTTTCATTTTTTAAATATTCCTAAAATTCGATAAATTCTAGAAATTCATAAATTTCATAAATCCTGGTTCGAAATGCTTTTACACATCCCAGAAGGATCCCAAAAGAGATTTTAGAAATTTTAGAGACTCTAGATATTCTGAAAATTTTAGAGACTCCAGGACTACTAGGACATTTACAAGTTACAGTAATTTCAAAGTACAAATTGAGTTCCAGTAATTGCAGAAATATAGAAATTCTAGAAATTCTAAAAACTCTTGAGAGAACTTCTTCTGGAAGTTATACATCATAAAGCTTGCAAAGATTTAAAAGATTTTTAAAATTTTAAAGATGCCCGAAGAGTCGAAAAATGATATTTCAGAAATTCTGAAGGTCTTTGAGATATTTGATATCGTAAAAAGCTTCATAAATTCCACAGATTTTTGAAATCCGAGATATTGTAACGATATTAGAAATTCTAATCCAACAGATTTTAGAGTTTCAAATTTTTATAACATTCTTAAAATTCTATATATAAAATCTTAGAAATCTTAGATATTATAAAAGTTCTTGCCATTTCTAGTGATTTTTGAGATCGTAAAAATCCCAGAGGTACCTGACATTTCGAAAATATTAAGAATTTAGAATCCCTAAGAGAAAGCAGAGGCCGTTTTGACTCTTCCTTAAACCTCCTTAATTTCAGAAATTACATAAGTCTTAGTTCAAACTGCTTCTAAACATCCTAAAAATACAAAAGACTCAGAGATTTTAGAATATAAATTGGATAGGTACGAGTTAGATATCACAAAAATTCATTCTAAGGATACCTAAAATAATTACTTGAACATTTCGGAAATACATTAAAAAATTTTCAAACTTGTCTTAATGTTTAAACGGAATCTGAAATTAGAAACAAATTAATGATCTAACTTGAGCGATTTGACTAAACTTTAGACTAGTCAAAATACAAACGTATTTTTTCAATTATTTGAGAAAAATCCCTTTCAGAATGACACATTCTCGGATCAATTTGACCAACTTTAATTTAATATAGAAAATTGGTGGATGCGCCGGGACAATATATAATTTAAGATATATATTTCGAGGGTTCTAAGGATATTTGTACTTGAAATAGCATATTTTAGAAGAAATTATGCATGTTTTCAAAAGTATATTAATGTTTGAATAAAATAACCAGCGAATCTTAAATACGAAAAAAATTAATGGACTGATTTGAGAGAATTTACACTACTGAATACAAATGGTGAAGGCACCGGAATAATATATAATTAAAACGACATAATACGAGAATTCTAAAGAAGCGTGTGTATGAAGTGGACTATGGATATGAAAACTTGTTAAAAATGGTAAATTTGTAGAGAAGTGTGGAAGATAAAATTTACCATTTTAAACAAATTTTAAATTTTTTCTTCTGAAGATTATGTATATTAAGATGAACAAAATGTTAAATCATAAATGTTAAGCTTTACAGGAGAATTCACCGTTTTCTATTTGAAAAACGTCTTTCAGTCTTTCTAAACGTCATGTTTAGAAATAGCACAAAATACTAGATGATAAACAATTTTGAAACAGTTTTACACTTTTGAACTTCACTTTACGAAAACCAAACACGAACTTATTGATCGAGGAAAAGAACTCGAAACGAAAGTTCTTGGTGAATTTAATACATCAAAGCTCTTTTTACAAAAATTCTATAAATGGGTGTTGTAATTATTTTAAATATTTATATACAACTTCCATGCATTGCCTACAACCAAAATGAAAGACATTTCCCCCAAATCCGCTCTTTATTATAACTGTGTAATGACACGTTTACAACCCCATTATGTACCGAAACGTGCAAAACAAAACAAAGCCACAATATTTTTCCCCAAATTAAATTTAGTACTTGAAAACAGCCTTTGTGCCTCTCCTCGAAATCATTTATCACTTTATTGGCATCTTTCGGGAGTCATATCTGTGCGTTTTGTATCCGCTCCGACTCAATGCTAGGTTTCGGTGAAAAATTAATTCCTAAACTCTTTTAAACGCCCCCCAAACCAAATTTGTTGATAAAGGAAAAAAATTAGACCCTTTCAAGTACAATCCATTTAGCCAAGCTCCACCGACGAAATTGATTTAGGAAGGCTTCGTAATCTTACCAATTTCAATTTATTTTGGGTTCTCTTTCAGAACAAATAATTATGCATGAGCGAATTGCTTGGTCGAACACAGCTCCTAAATGTTAAAACATTCTTTCCGGTTCCATTCTCGCCGCTTTTCTAAATACACATATAATCCTCGGAAATTCACAATATTGTCGAGATTTTTGCGAATATTTTAATACGGAAGTAGAGTTTTATTTTTAGTAAAATGTGTCAGCGCTGCAGTTATTTTGCATTTAGATGAAGTATCTAAACCGAGAAAAATTGGATCCAGTAGGAGAATAATTCCATGTCGGTGCTACAACCGCTTATTGCTCCCTTTTTCCACCGATCGGAAAATTTATCGAAGCTGCTTCTGTATGCTAGCTGCATTACTATTTTACAATTTAATTCACTTCCTTTTCTTTCCCACGACTAGAAACACGTTAGAGTTTCATCTCCTATTCTGCAACCGTTATTTTTCTTGTTTGTTTTTTGTCCTATTTGCATTTTACGACACAAATTCTGTATTACCTGTTTTTAATAGAGTTGGAGGGAACAATCTCGGAATGTAAATAATGCAGCGTCTGCTTACTATGAACGAAGCGTTACAGTCTGACTTCGTGAGAATGATAAAGCTGCAATTTCAGCAACTGAACAGGATATTTACTTGGTTGGTTTGTTTTTCTAAGGGACAATATAACCCATTTTCGTATTTGGTGTAAGCTCGACGAATAATTTTTTGATATTTTGTCCAATTTTGCGTCCAGTCGGCGCTTTCCGCGCGATTTATAACCCGCTAAACATTCATTTCCTGCAAAACATCCCACTTTTCACGCACACTGTATCAGTTATTAATCGTGCAAGCAAATAACCATCGTTTGCTTTTTCAGCCATGTGGGTGTGTCAGCTGTAAAGTGCCACTGCCAGTCCGATTTCACGGGTGAAACTTGCCAGATTCCCGTCAGTTCGACAAAGCCGAGTGGTAAGTTTGTTTACACCGAAACAAATTCAATTACTAATCAATGCGAATCACAGTCCCAGCAGAAATATAACAGCATGTCGAAACTATTCCGCGTGCCCATAAAAAAGAACGAATGACTTCATTTCTGTTTTCTCTTCAACTCTCGTACGATTACTTTGGGAGAGGACGTCCCACAACAGTGTTCGCTCAAGTCAACTGTGTAAAATATTTAAAACGCAACCATAGTAATCCAACAAGACACAAAGCATCGATCTGATAAAAGACAATGGAGGAAATGCACAATGGTTCGAACGAGACTGTAATTCCTGATAGCGAAGCAAGTTCACTACGTATTTCCGGCGCAGTATCTCTCTCCTTTTGTAAACTTTAAATAAGAAAGCAAATTAATTGCCTTGATGACCCAATTCTCAATTAAATTAATTCGAGTTATTGTTGTGATATTAGGGTTACAATGGACTTCTCACGAGTACGGTTTTTTACAGGATGTGACAGCTGCGTCCTGACCTGTCCGTTCGACGGAAAACTGGAAACCGCCTGCAAGTGTCGGAATTCGTTCAATAATGGCACGATCAACGGTAAGGTTTTTTCTGCAACAATAACAAATCGCGCATTTCGACTGTGAAATTGCTAAAACAGTTCTCCAAAGTAAATACAAGTTTTGGAACAAATTAATATAAAAATAAAAATAGTTTCCAGCATGTCGAACGAAACGGTTGATAAAACGCTCTGTGCTATATGCACAAAATTCGCTGTAAAAAAGCGTGTTCTTTGTGTAAATTGCAAACACTATCTCCATAATAGTTGTGCACAAAAAAACAAAAAATGTTGCGAACGCCAGTGCTTGATGCCTGAAGAAATAGAAGATCATGAAAATGACACAACATATGCCAGTGGTGAGCTAAACAATACGATATCAAAAAACGAAATGACACTTACGGCGCTAGAGAATGCTGAATTAAAGCAGCAAAACAAAAATCTACGTAAGCAAGTAATTCATTTGCAAGATCAAATTGAGATACTTCATGACGAAAAATTTAAACTTGAAGAAAAATTTTCATCAGAAAATACTGCTTTATCGGTATTTCTGGACCTTAAATTGTCCAATTTTCTGGAGTCGACAAAGACCGAAATATCGGAAAAGATGCTCAAGCTAACAAATGATGTACAGCAGATACAAGACACGCTTCGCTGCGACAAGAAGAAATCCTTTGATAACAAATCTACAAAATCTACAAAAACAACTGATATAGGTGCGAATCAGGGATACGAAAAAGTGACCGCTAACAACACAGGTGTCAAATCAGCGTCACCCAAACAACCGATGTTGCCGGAAAAAAACTGCAGTTTACCATCCTCCAGTATCATCAAGGAAAGTAATTTATGGCAGTCTGGACCAAAGCAAAGCAAGATACAGGATGAAGTTATTAAATCCTTAACTATAAAGGATTACGAAACTAAACAGGACCACTCCAAATTGATGCTGAATAATACTAGCAGTAAAGACGATGACTGGTCCATAGCCGGTAAGAAAAAACATAAAAACCCCATGATGAAGTCCAATAGCAGATAACCAAAAATTGTTGGCCAATTCAAAGAACAACAGACAATAAAAACAATCCCTAAATTGGCATTTATCTATGTGTCCCGACTACATCCGGACACATTACCAACTAATATAGAATTATTATTAAAGCCTAAGTTTCCAGAAGTAAAGTGTATGGGAGAAAATCTGTCTAAATTCCCGCAACATTATGCCTCTTACAAGTTAAGTGTTCATCTTGAAAATTTTAACCAAGCAATGGATCCACTAATATGGCCATATGGATGTCATGTATCAAGGTTTTTTCACAGAAGACCAATGAAAACCCTACCAGTGTAAAAACACATCAATCTGAGAAGGATCTTAAAGATGGTGATGCACAGCTTCTTCACATATTAATTATTAACATTCAATCGATTAAAAATAAATTAAATGACTTAGAAGTTATTCTTCATACGGAAGATATCCAACTGGTTGGTATATCCGAACACTGGCTAAATGACAACGAATCAAACTCTTTGACTTTGGAAAACTACTCTGTTTCGGCACATTTTTCCAGAAGCAATGATTTGCATGGAGGTTCCATGATCCTGACGAAAAAGAAACTAACTTGTGTACCACTTCCTTCATGCATGAAATATTCAGAAGAAAAAATGACAGAAATTGCTGGCGTGTCATTGCCAACTTTGGGTATAATTTTTATTAATATTTATCGCCCCCCAGCAGGAAATTTAAACCGTTTCTTGGAAAATTTGAGTAAAGTTTTAGGCGAAATTGACATTCCTCACACAAATGTAGTGATATCAGGGGACTTCAATGTCAAATTTAACACCAAAGATCCTATGACAACTAGGCTTTGTGATTTTATGAATAGTTTCGGTCTTATACCATTAGTAAATTTTCCAACCAGAAAGGCGAACTGTCTAGATAACGTGTTCACAAATATCGATCTTAAGTATTGTAATTGTAAACCACTGAATACTCTAATTTCTGATCACGACAACGCAATATTACTAACTCTTTCTGTAAACTTAAATAATCAGACAATCTATCACACGACAAAAATGTATAGGCCGATTACGACTCTCGGTAAATTCAGTCTATATCATTCACTTCATACAGTTGACTGGTCCTTTATTGGGAATAGTAATCAAGACATTAATGATAAATTTCTATGTTTTATGAATATAATATCTGATCATGTTAATAGGTCTTTTCCTACAAGACTGTTCAATAGTAGCAATAAGCCAAATCGTGACAAATGGTTTACTGAAAATTTGGCCCGAATGAAAAATATTTTACGAACACTTGTAGATATTGACAAAATTGTTAATAGTAGTGAGTCTAGGCAAATAAAGAATAACTATAGGAAATTGTATAGAGAAGAAATTAGGCTTAGTAGAATAAATTTCAATAAACAAACTATTGATTCCGCAAATAATAAAAGTAAAGCTCTATGGAATATTGTCAACAAGCATCGTGATAGCACTTCTAGTAAAAATACTGATATGTTGAACTGTACTCGAACATGTGATGATTTTAATATCTATTTTACTAATGTTGCATCTAATTTAGTCAATAATCTATCTCCTTCTCGTGATGATCCCATAATGTTAATGAGTGAGAGTATGTCCATTCCTAAAAACTGTATGTCTAATTTTAGTTTTTGCCAGGTTTCCGGTGCAACTGTTAGAGATGTGATAAACTCTATAAAAAATAGTAGATCCAACGATATATATGGACTAAATGTTACGATCATAAAAAGCATCAAAGACATTTTGATCTCCCCTTTAACTAAACTAATTAACGTTTGTATTGTGCAATCAGTATTTCCTAGCTGTCTGAAGATTGCTAGAGTGGTTCCCATACATAAGAAAGGTGATATAAACGACACCTCCAACTATAGGCCGATCTCTATTCTTCCACTATTTTCTAAGATCTTGGAAAAAATCTTGTATAATCAATTAAGTAATTATCTCGAAATTAACTACTTGCTGTCACCTTCACAGCATGGATTCCGGAAGAACCACTCTACGGTTGGAGCAGTGCTAGATTTTATCAGAGAGGTTGGTAATGTTTTGGAAGATGGCGGAATAACAGCAGTGTCCTTTCTTGATCTTACTAAGGCATTCGATTGCGTCCATCACCTGACGCTATTGAGAAAATTATATATGTACAATTTAAGTCCATGTTGTTGCAGATTATTGTCATCTTTCATAAGTGACAGATCTCAGTTAGTTTCCATAAATTCAAAACGGTCTGAGCAACTACCAGTTTTGCATGGGGTACCTCAAGGCTCTGTCCTTGGACCTCTTTTGTTCCTAATGTATATTAACGACCTTCCAATGTATATGAGGACTCACTGCAAGAGCATTCTATATGCAGATGACACGACTTTGGTTTGCAGCGGAAGGGATCTTTTACAGGTACTCACAGACCAGGCTATGGCACAATCAAAGACCGAAAGTTGGTTCGTCGCTAACAGATTAACAGTAAATACATCAAAAACTGTAAGAATGTTATTCTCCCTAAAGAAAAGAGTACAGGTTCCCGATGACTTTGTAACCTCTAACAAATTTTTAGGTATAACGATTGACAATGCTTTGCGATGGGATGCTCAAGGTGATGTACTGGCAAACCAACTATGTAAAATTACATTTCTCTTAAGAAATCTTAGGGACAAGGTTCCGCTGGAAACACTGTATACAGCATATTTTGCACTCTTCCAGCCCCAAATAACCTATGGCTTATTAATGTGGGGACACTCTAGCATTTTTCACAGAATTTTTAAATTGCAACGGAGAACAGTAAGAATAATAGCTAATTTACCTTACAGAGCTGACTGTAAAGACACCTTTACTAAAATGCAAATCATGACATTGCCATCGCTATATATATACCTTTGTCTAATGTATGTTAAACTTAATTTGAGTGATTATATATGTCATAATCATATTCATAATTATAATACACGATACAGTGAACACTTATGTTTAAAGAAAACTAGACTGACAAAGTCTCGTAATGGAGTTGAATACCTAGGCATTAACTTCTATAATGCTTTACCTCAGAACATTCGGGAGTTAAATGGACAAAATTTTAAATCTGTCATTAAAGAAAATTTAACAGGGTTCGCGTTATATTCATGGGATGACTACTTCCATATAAGTCAAAATTTTAAGCCTAAATAGAGAGTGGTCATGTTAGTGTCATATTTTTTAGAATCTTATGTGCTTTGTTTTTATATTTTATACTTGTGTCTGTATTTTCTAAATGTAATATTTTGACGACCCAATGTACTTATATTGTATGCTAAAGGGTAGAATAAAATTATTATTATTATTATTATTATTATTATTAATAATAGTCTCCAAAATCGATATTAATGAAGGGCCGGGGTTACTCTGCGCCGACGCCGCCGAACTCCAGGGGTCGTAAAAAATAAAAACCGAAAAATCGCGTGCAAATTGCACAAAAGTGATGGTATTTGAACAGCCGCGGCCGAAAACACAAAGTTAAACACATTGTGTAGATTGAAAGTAAATATGTTCAGTCACATGGAATTCATTTATATTTAAAAACGTGGCTTTGCCGGTGCGCTTCACCGGATAAAGTGATTGCCCTGCAGATTCCATTGCATATGAAAGCCACTGTAAGCCGATTTTAAAAGTAATACCGTCCCGTGTGATTGCATTTCCGGACCTGAGTATATTTTCTTTGGCGCAGCTGCTGTGAAATTATCTCTGCTCATTCATTATTTACTTGTTTTATTATTATGCAAGTGAGTGATGATGATCGTGCAGTACGAGGTTGATGTGGAGCGGGTTTCCAGTCCCAACTGATTTCCTAAGAGACGTCTTAAACTCCAAACATCCGTTTAAGATGGCTCAATTTTTCAAGCTGCCGTCGATTTTTCATTCCAGATTTACTTTGGAGCGCAATAGAGATTTCGATCTATATGACAAAAAAGGGGCAACGAATCTATCATCGCGTTTCTGGAGCCAACATATTGTGTCATTAGGCATTTTTTCGAATTCGCGATTTTTCACCGAGGTAGTGTAGAGGAGAAGAAAAAATAAAAACAAAATAAAGCGAAATAATTTTACTTTGTTTGTGGAGCCAGTTGGAAATAATTTGGGCGGATCGTGAAGAAAGGTAATTACCGCTAAAGTTCATCTGGAACACGTACATTCGCATTGTGATGCGAATATCTTTCCCGAATCATAAAGCGGATAAAGTGGCAAATTGCTAATGAAATAGAGGGAAGTCGTTATGAAATTTGATTATATTCAGCTAGCTGAAAGATGGAGAGCTTCGATAAAACAAGGTTAGTGCAGACAGACAAATTTACTTTAGTTTCGCTGTACATTTACAAAACAAAGAGCTACAAGGACTCGTCATGTGCATCCGCCGCCTTTGACATTTCCAACAGTGCTCCATATAACTCAACAACTTTCAGAGAAAAATGTGTACTTTTTTGTTAAAGTAAGTGGAAGTATTGAAAGCTGCACCGTTATCAAACAGACAAATATTACTCTCCAAACTAGAACCGAGTGTCTGATTATTTTGCTTTTCGTTTTCGTGAATCAAAAATAGCACAGTAAACAACCGAACGAAAAAGTGCCGGCCGCCGCATTATTTATCTTTTTCATTATTCAAAGAAACAGATTTCGTATTCGTTGTTTTAAATTTGCAATTTATTAAGTTAACTATAGCCGACGAGCCCACTCCCCGTAAAATAAAAGCGCCGAGTTATTTATAGCAGTGTACGATTCTCGTAAGGAGGAAAAAACAAATCTTTTTGATATATCGTTGTTTGTCTTTTTTATAAATTTTCTCTTTTGCAGATTTATCATAATAAAATATGACGATCCTAATCGGGCAAGATTTGCATTTAGATATAACGTTTTGTTTATCTGAAAAGTGTCGCATCCACTCACCTAAAACAAAGCAGCTTACTTATGTATGGACGGTGGAGGCATATTAAATTTGTGCTGTTTTGCTTTGCAGATCGGGTGGGCTTCATCAGTACGATGCATCTGTCCAATTTACCCAATCTGAGCGGCGACGCTTTGAAAAGCTTCATAGAAAATCAGGTACGTGATGTGTGATGAAAAAATGGGATTGTAGTTAAGTGGTTTCCGGCGCATCCACCATTTTTACAAACAGTTTTACGTAGGAAAACGACGGGATATTGCGGATAAAAGTGTTGGTAGCAACTAGTGGATAAATATAGAATAGAACACTGAAAGCTTAAGTTTAATGGTTTCATGTCTCTGCACCAAAATAAAAATATATAAATATTTAACAATTCTGGCTTAATAGATACATACTTGTATTTTTTATTTAAACTGAAACAAAAAATAGTACTCCTACAAACTAAAATTATATTTTTAATTGAGATTTCTCGGCGCCTCCACAATTTTTACCATAAACAATTTCAAACAAAAATTAACATTTCTATTCTCTTTCGAAAAATAAAATTAATTAAGTGTCCCGGCGCCTCTAGCACTTCTACAGTAAAAAAATAAAGGAAATTGCGCCCTCGCAATACATACATATGAAATATAATACCTGTTCTTTGAGCCTCATTTAATAATATTTCGGCTATAAACGTAAAAAACAAAAACTCATCATTTTTATGAAAACACAAAACTGAAATTAACGGAGTTGTGAACAAATTCAATAACAGTGGTTATATTTTGAGGCGCACAGATCATGATTTCGATTGTCTCAATTCGAAAAAGAAATAATTAAGTGTCCTGGCGCTTCCACTATTTTTACAATTTTAAAAAAGGAAATTTTGCTCTCTCAATAAATAATAATAGCTGTACTTTGAGCCTCACTTAATAATATTTCACCTGTCAAAGTAAAAATAAAACTACATTTGTATGGTGACTTTTCCACTTTTACAAAAATTTTGCTAAAATTCTTATAATACTTGTCTCTGTGTCAAATTAAAATTATATTGTTACTTGAGATTTCCCGACCATTTTTACCATAAACAATTTAAAACAAAAATTTACGTGGTCGCTACAACAGAAAGTAATGATTACTTCGTGGATAAATATGAAATACAGAAGTCTAAATTTGAGCCTAACTCGAACTGATTTCTTATCTTTACTCCAGAATAAATTATATTTTTAGTTGGAATTTCCCGACACTTCCACCCTTTTTATAAAATCCCAAAATTGAAATTAACGGAGTTGCGGAGAAATAAAACAATAATGGCTTAATAGACATTTATATTTTGAGCCGCTTTATTCTGGATTTCGATTCTCGATTAAAAAAAAAAATTGAATTGGGTTGTCCTGGCGCCTCCACCATTTTTACATTTACGAAAAGGAATTTGTTCTCTCTCAGTAGATAAATTAAAGTAATGACAGATAAGTAACTTTATCAAACTTAAGTAGGATTTATAAACTTGCTGTTGACCTGGATAGTAATTTTGACGTCCAATTTTTGCGATATTTAAAGGGGTTGTAGACGGAAAGTGGAAGATTTAAGTTGTTTAATACTATAAAAATTTACCATTTTAGATACTTATGTTTCAAGTTTCTTGTTGACGAAATAAGTCTACACATATTAAGAAAAAAAAAGGCAAAATTTAGCCCCGCCCACCCACCCTGTCTCAATTCTGACGATTTTTTTTATTCGTCGTGAGTCAAAGGGGCGGAGCTTAACTGCAAAATCCATATTTCCTTACAAAAATTTACCATTTTTAAAATGCTTTAAGTTTCTAAGAATAAAAAAATATATTACAATTGAGATCGGGTGGGCGGGCGGGGTCAGTATTTTACGTTTTTCTGTTAATATACATAGTATTCTTTAAAAAACACGATATTCAAAAACATGCTTTAATTTCTTGTAAAGTAATAAGTATTAAGTAGTTAAGCTCCGCCCCCTATGTTCTCCGCGGGTCGGAGGGACTATATTTTGACATTTTGTTTTAATATGTGCAGGCTTCTTTTCACCACAAGAAACTTGTAACAACTCATAGTCATAAGTTACGAGTTTCGTAAGTTCCTATTCTCGTTTTCTTAGTTCAGATATTCTAGTTCTGAATGACTAATTTCTGCTCTTCGAATTCTCAAATCTCAATTTCCAAATCCTAAATACAAATTTTTTATGCCAAAATTTTCATATTCCCAGTTTCTAATTCCCAAATTCTTAGTCCCTCATTTTCAGATATCCCCTTCCCAGTGTGCGTTCTGAGCTTGCATTTCTCGTATTTTAAATTCCGGCTTCACTTCCAAATCCTCAAATTTTCAATCCAGAATTTTCAAATTCCAGGATCGAAGTTTTGATTATTCCAAATCCCGAACATTTTTTTTCTGGTTTTTTAATACTACTGTGTCAAATTCCTAAAGAATAAAAAACTTCGTATTTGTAATTCGCAAATTCTCTTTAATATTCCTAATTCCTGAATTTTTAAATTTCACTTCTTAGTCTCGAAATACCTAATTTCGAAGTGTTCACGTTCTAAATGCAAAATTTTTAAATCCTTAATTTCGAATTCCTGAATTTGCAGTTTACGCTGCTCCATTTTTAGTATTTGCGTTCCTAAATTCCCAATTTTCAGTTCCCAATTCCCAAAACTCCTATTCTCAATTACAAATTATCAGGCTCTAAGTGCTAAATTTTCATTGCTGTTTACATATCTCGAAATTTCCAATACTAAATTATCAGTTTTCAAATTCTATTTATTGAATGCAAAATAGTAATTTTTAACTTCCAATTTAGAGTTTCCCTAATACAAATTCTCAGTTACGAATTTAAAAATTTCACAGATGTTATTTTTCAGTTTCAGAATTTTTAAATTCCAAATTGTTGAACTTAGAAATTCTTAAATTCTCAACTCGTAACTCACAGTCTCATAAGTTACAAGTTATTTAAGTTTCTATTCTCGTTTTCTTAGTTCAGATATTCCAGTTCTGAATGATTAATTTCTGGTTTTCGAATTCTCAAATCTCAATTTCCCAATTCTAAATACAAATTCCTAATGACAAAATTTTCACATTTCCAATTTCGAGTTTTCAGATATCCATCTCCCAGTGTGGATTCTGAGTTTGCACGTCTCTTATTTTAAATTCCGGCTTCACTTTCAAATTTCCAAGTTATCAATCCAGAATTTTCAAATTTCAGGATCGAATTTCTGATTATTCCAAACCCATTTTTTTTTTTTGTAATGAAGAGTTGAAAATTTCAAAAGTCAAGAATTCCAAAATTCCGAAATTATAAATTCGAACAATTGAAGAAACAAAAAATTAAAAACAAGGCACTAAAATTGAATCGACGAAAAATTGAAAAAATGAAAAATTCAAAAGTTGAATCGATCTATGAAAAATTTTAAATCGAGAACGTGAAAAATTGAAACATTGAAAAAACGAAAAATAGTAGGTACCATTGAAAATTGCGAATCGAAAAACTGAAACGAAATTCTAAATTCGAACATTCAAAAATTTTAAGTTGAAAACTCGAAAAATTAACGAAATTAAAAATCGAAAAATGGAACAATAATTGAAAATTTGTAAATTTGGAACAATTAATACTTTGTTGAAAAATTGAAGAGCCGAAATTCCAAAATTCCGAATTTAAAAACTCGAAGAATCGAAGAAACGAAGAATTAAAACTAAGCTAATAAAATTCAATTGAAAAGTAGTTATAACGAAAATCGAAAAACTGAAAAATTGAAAAAACGAAAAATTGAAAAATTCAAAAGTTGAATCGATCTGTGAAAAATCTAAAATCAAGAAACTGAAAAATTGGAACATTAAAAAAATTAAAAACACATTGTACCATTGAAAACTGCAAATCGAAAAATTGAAACGAAATTCAAAAGTCGAAAATTCAAAATTTTTAAGTTAAAGACTCAAAAAATTGACGAAATTAAAAATCGAAAAATGGAACAATAATTGAAAAATTGTAAATCAGGAAAAAAGAATAGTTGAAAAATTCAAAAGTCAAGAATTACAAAATCCCCGAATTTAAAAACTCGAACAATTGAAGAAACGAAGAATTAAAAACAACCAAAAATTAAAATATCTAAATTGCAAAACCGAAAAATTGAAAAATTCAAAAGTTGAAATCGATCTATGGACATTTTTAAAAAATAGAAACTGAAAAATTTAGACATTGAAAAATATGTTTTAAATCAAAATATATAGAAATTGAAAAAACCGAAAAATTGTAGAATCTAAAACAGTATGATTGAATAATGAAAAAATTATAAGATCGAAATATTGAGTAATTGAAAATTAAAAAGTTAAAACTTCAAAAGTTGAAAATTAAACTTAATATTAAAACCCTAATATTGCAAATGGGAAAACTTAAGAAATGAAAAATTTAAACTGAAAACTCGAAAAATTGAAAAAACGAAGAGTTAAACAACAAAACATGTTTAAAATGAACAAATTGTATAAGGAAATTAGGCTCCGCCCCATAATTGCAACATCTATATTTCCTTCCAAAAATGTACCACATTAACCATGTTTTAAGTTTCTTGGTTTGAAAATATGGCTACGTATATTAAGAAAAAAAAGTTAAAATTTAAGACCCTCCCACCCCCCCCCTTCCTCAATTCTGATGATTTTTTTAATTCGTCGTGAGCCGAAGGACTGAGCTTAAATGTAAAATCCTTATTTTTCTACGAGAAATTACCATGTGAAATATGTTCTTAAATAATCGTGTTATACAAAGAAATCTAAATGTATTAATTAAAGAAGAAAATCAAAAGAGAAGCCCCACCCATCCTTCTCGATCTCAATCGTAATGAATTTTTCATTCGTTGTCAGACCGATGGGCGGTGCGTAAATTCAAATTCGATATTTCCCGGTACAAATTTACCATTTTAAATATGTTTTAAGTTAGTTGTTGTGAAAAGATGACTACAGATATTTGGAAAACGAGGCAAAACGTAGCCCCGCCCACCCGACCCATCTCGATTGTGATGATTTTTTTATTCGTCGTGAGCCAAGGAACTAATGCTCTCTCAGTAGATAAACTAAAGTGATGACAGATAAGTAATTTCATCAAACTTAAGTGGGATTTATAAACTTGCTGTTGACGTTGAAGTTCCCGTTGCCAAGTTGCCGTA